CCCGCCACCCAAGGGCGCTCCGGGCACGCCGCTCTGAGGCTTACCGCGGAGGTCGCGACGAGAGGCTGGACCGAGGTGGCGCGCCGCTTGCGGACCCGCAGGTGAGTGTGCAGTGTGGGCGTGGGATGCTGCGGGGACAGTGCGGGAGACCTGAGGGTCCTCGGATGCGGACACGGGTCCGTGCGATGCGCAGGTTAAGTTTGCAAAGCGAGCCCGAGGTCTCTCTGAAGCTCGGCCTCCTCTCGCTGCCCCTGCGGGTTGGGGGCTCACGCAAAAACCTTGACTTGGGGGAAGGGCTTCGAGAAATTCTTGTCTTGAGATACTTGACAAAGGTTGAAAAGACACATCAGGTGGAGCGTGTAGCTGCGTCTGATGGGGTGACACAGGTGCATTGAGTGTGCCTGCATGGGGGATGAGCCCAGAATGGGCAAAGCTTCTGCGGCCGGTTATTTCGTCCCCAAAAGCCACTTAGATGCCTGAGAGAGAAATCGCGCTGCTCTGAGGTGGTCACTGGACGATAAGGCAGCAAACCTATGACCCCCGTGTTTCTGATATGCCTCTGAGTAGCAGGAGAGCAGGTGGCTCAGTGAAGAGTGTGTGAGGTTTTAAGGCACCGAGAAAATATTCCCTTCGCCTTTTAACTTCTTGGTATAAATTAGTATTAAAAGTGCTGAATCATGCAAAAAGACGTGGAAAATAATCTGCTTCATTTTTTGGTGAAGTTTTTCAAAGCCGTTATCTGTATTTTTGGAATAATGCTTTGAATGTACGATATAGGCACCAGGTATTTGAAATCATATTCAAAGACTGTGCCTTTGGCTTTACGACTATTGATTGCTTTTCTTTTGGAAGGGCGAGTTGTCTCCATTCATTATCTCTTACCAGCCACCCTCCTAAAAAAAAAAAAAAAATTTTTTTTTTTTTGGCGTGGCCATGATTATAATAGGGGTGGAGGAAACAGTCCTCAGAAATAGAAAACATCCTCCTTTGATGAGTGCAATGATGGCCAATTTGATTTGTCATATGCCACTGAAGGGAATGTCAACCTGATAACAAGCAGACTAGAGAGAAAAAGAGGCAAGAGTTGCCCATGGAGGAAGAAATGAGCCCTAATCCAATTGTGCTCAGTAATAGAGCTGAAGGGAAGTGCTTCCACATTGGAGCCTGAGTCCTGCTTGGTGGAGGTGGAGGGGTGCAGTTTTTGATGGGAGTTCTGAGGCCTGACACCAAGTAGCATAATGATGATTTTTTAAGAAACCAGAGTCAGGATTAGTAAAAATGGGTGTGTCCAAAGATCTCTTGCCGGTAGCTCTGGGCTGCACTGTCTGAACTGCTCAGTGGCCTGCTGACTCATAAGAGAACCAGCATGGCTTAGCAGGATTGGATTTTACTTGTGAACTGTAAAAAGCCATACCTGTTTAAAAAAAAAAAAGCTTTAACAGAGACATCCATAAACAGAGCAGCTGGTCTCACATCTCTTCAGGGAGATTTTCTCCGATTCCTTGACTTGTCACCTTCATTTCAATACCTGTCATCCATGGTTGTGCACAGAACATTTGGTTCGACACAAAGATTTGAATCTAAATCTTAACACTAGAAATAGTGGCACTCCTAAAAACGTGATTCTTTCAAAGGTATTTGGGAAGGACACTGAAAACCTGGAATATGAACGAATAATTGAGTTTTCTTTGCCGCAAGGACTCCCTTAACATTGCATACAAGACCGGGGAGCCCCACCCTGTTTCCGAGCATCTGCATGAAAGGCCAGGAAATGAATTCAACAATTGCAGTGGTGCAGAGAGAGGCAGTTTTAGTCTTGGGTGTTCTGTGTATTTAAATAATTACTAAAATTTTGGAGAGTAGACTTGAACCCAGAGTTAAGTCTTCAAAGCACAGTGTTTTTCAGTTTCACCTGTCAGCTTGTTAAAAATGTTCATTTAACTTTGAGAGGTTGGTTTCGTTAGAAAAGGGATATGAAATGGGAGCTGCTTCCAAATTTTAATTCTGGGGCTACAAGACATGATTGGAAAGGCAAATATCAAAGCACAGAGTGAGGCCGAAAAGAGTTATTTTTGCTCTGGTATTCTTAATAAAATTTCTTGATTAAAGTGAAGGGTTTTTTGTTTTTGTTTTTGTTTTTTTTTAAAGAAAGGGGCACTCGTTTTCAGGCAATAAACAGGCTTGCGGAATAGACAAGCACCTGGCATCTCAGAGCAGAGATGCCTAATTGGAGCAGGAAACAGGTGAGTGAGCTTACCTTTTACTGCGTGGTCCCTCAGTCAGAACCCAGTCATGTCACGTCTGATTAAAGGAGGCCATTTCTGCAATAAGGCACGAAGATTTCAAATCCTATAGGAAAGAAAATGTTTTGAGCTGCTCTGAAGAAAGAGGCTTTCATTACGAATTCACAATTTATTATTGTCATAGCCATGCTTACCCGCATCGCCTTCCGGAGGCAGCAGGTCCAACCGTGAGAAAGAGAGATAGATATCAAGACATTTTTCTTTCCTTTTTTTAAAAAATAAAATAAAATAAAATAAAAAGTTTTCAAAAGGACATCCACCGGATGTTACCATTCACTTTTTAAGGCAAATAAATCATTTAAAGAAAACGATACTTTTCTCCCCGTGGCTAGAGTGAATTAAAGCATTGCTAAATCTGGACGTGGTGACCAGATTGTATCTCAACAGTATGAATTGGACATCCCGGGGGCAGGTGGAAATGGCATATTCTGTTCAAAACTAATGTTCAGTTCAAAGCTGCTGGAACCACCTTCTGCTTTTTTCCTTCTATTACCGTTCCCCTCTCTTAAATTCACAAACCACGCCTACAAATCCTAGCACCTGGAAAGCTATGAGATTTCACTAGGAATGCACAATCAGGTAAATGGCCCGTGATTGCGGGTCATTCTGAAATCAAAGTAGATTTCAGCTTTGTCTTCGAAAATCATGGTAGGTTGTCTCTCGTGCTTTCCTAAGATGCTGGCGCCCTGGAAGCCTGCTTTCAAAGAGGGTCTTTTCCTGAGATTTCCAGTGATTATTTTGTGGATGTTAGCTCTGCCCACTTGCACGGTTAATTGCAGTGCAAGAAGGTTCCAGAACAGTACCTCCTTGAGCTCCGACAGTGAATGTGTACACAGCATTGTATGAGGAGCATTCCAGAACACCCACCAATCGGTGAAGTGAATGTGCTGGCTGAATAAACACCTGGGCTGCTTTAGCAGGCCAACCCTGTCGTTATTTACCGTGGAAAGGTTGTGTTAATATATGCTGAGCTTTTGTAGGACACTAGAGAGCCTTGCAGGATGAAGAGAGGCTTCTGATGTCTGGCTGCTTTTCGAGGTGGCCTCTAAGAATCTCCCTTTTTCCATTTGAGGATGTCCAGTTATGTGTATTTTGCAAGGAAATTAAAGAAAACACGCTTTGCTCATTCACTCATTACAGGGACTTGTAAGATAGTAATATTAATAATATCATTGCCTTTACGTATTTAAAAGTTAACACATTCATATATTTTGGGGCGCATGAGTATTGAGTTGGGTTGAGTATCAGTAGGAAATCGCTGCTCCTTTGAAACGATAACATTCAATACTTGCACATACGTCTCTGCAGAATAAAAGAACGTGCTTTGGTGTGCATGCTCTGCCGCATACACATAAATTCTACACAAACTAGAACTGCTCTTTAGGATTATTCGGTTACTTTCTCTGAGGATGTGGGTAGAGTTTTTGTTTGTTTTCCTGGCGGATGTTGAGCTCTGATTCTGCTCTGCTTGGGCATCTTAATTCTGAGCACCCTCAAGAAGAGACGGCGAACAAATACAATCGTTCATATTATAAGCAAAGTGTATTTTTTGCACTGTGTCTTCTTCTAGGTTGCCAGTTTAAAAGTAGTCATGCTCTAGGTTTTAGAACTAAAATTCACGAGAAATAACTTTTATTTAGATGTAGCTCAGGATGCATCTCCTTTGGTCAAATGACCATAGATCATCTTTGCTACTCATGAAATTTGGAAACTATCCAGACTGCTAATGATCTGAATATTTTGGTCCTGCAGGTGTTCCTTTGCTACAGTGGACGGTGACTCTGCTCTTCTGCCTGCGAGTGGTTCAAAATGTAAGTTCAGCAAACCCAATAATCACGTATCGATCATTCTGAGCTCAATGCAAAGCAGTTCTTTTCATTTTCATTCCTTCTACCTAAGACTTTAGCCTCAGACATAAGAGTCTAGAAGGAGATGATATCATCCCCTGGGGTGGGGCAGAGAAATACCTAACTTAAATTAACGTCCGTCCACTGTACAGCAATGTAACTTTATACGTCTGCCATCACAGCCATCGATTGCCATTCTTCTCTACCCCTCTCCATGACAGTATTTTTCTGGTAAAGAATATGAACCTTTGGTGTCTGGGTAATGCCGAATTGACACTTCCCCAGATTTCGCATCTTTCTGGGTGGCCCTGCCTATTCTAACCTCATGGCTCAAGCACACAGAGTCTCTAATATGTAGACACCTCCAGCCTTGGGAGCAGACTTTTTTTGTGCTGGATGAAATTCTGTGACTATTCTCGAGTTTCCTTTCCTACCATGTATGTTAACCAAAACGCTTCTTTCGCTCAGCCCACGAGGGTCATGCCGTTGGGATCTGGTACATTTCAGTTAGAAAATGGAAAGTGTTGAAATGTGCAGAAGACCATTGCTCTTTCACAGAGAGATGTTGGATGGTGCCGGCGTTTTAGATTTCCCAGGGATGGGTCTGCCTTCTCCACTTTGTTGGAGATAGAGTACGTCCAAGGACGGCTCTTGACAGAGGAACCTGTTCTTGAAAAGGGACCGAGTGCTGGTTAAGGGACTGAGTGCTGGTTTAGACACCTCCTGCTTCTTTAAAGACCTCAACGTGTAGTTTTTTTTGTTGTTGTTTTTGTTTTTTTAATTCATAGGCATTTAAAGCATTTTATCGCATTCAGGGTCTAGAAAGCTGATTTTTATTAGGACAAACATCTGCCCTGCCGCCTCTTCCCCTTGCTTTTCTGCCATCCTGTCTCTGCTTCCTTGCCCACAACATGGATTTCCATATAATTCGGTTCACTAAATATCTCTCCATTTTTGTGTCGCCGCAGAGTTTATTGCTAGAGCTGCTCAGAGACTTCCAGCACAAAATAATATATTGATCACTCGAAATCCTGTTTGAGCTTGACTGAATATACATAATGGGGTGTCAATCGGGGGGAAAAAAATCTCATAATAAATGGCAGGCAACTTATATTCATGAGAAAAAACGTCTTGGACAAAATATCATGTTTACTGTACCATGACAGACTGATTTCGCTAGGATCTATCACATAAGAGTCGATATTTAATAGCAAAGGCAAGGTTAGAAGATGAAAATCCTGGAACCTTTCTCTCTTTGTTTATGTGGGGAAGCATTTTTGCACATCCTTTTCACCACAGCCAGCAAAAAGGAGCTTTTTCTACCTGAGGAATTCAGAAATTTTGCAAACAAATCTGTTTAAGTTGGTGTAGATTTAAAATCAGCTACTGATTTATGCAGTCCATATTTTTTTTAAGTTTTTACCATGTGTGTATCAGTGCACGCACTTGCTGTATGCAAATATTTTCAATGTGTATATGAGAGAGCACAGTATATTTAGAGAAAACCCTGCTTTACATAAATTATTTTTAAAGAAGTGAGCAAAAGAGTAGCCACGCGTTAGGAAAGCTAAGTCTTTTTTTTTTTTTTCCTTTAAAAATTTCTCATCGAACGATAAGGAATCTCAATTTTAAAGTTTTATGTGTAATTCTCTAAAATCTATTTTCCCGATTGAGCAGTGATTATGATGGTAGGTATTTCTGGGGAAGTGATGTTTTGGGTTACTTTCTGAAGCTGACTTGTAGCTGACACCATTGCAGCTCCTTGTTTGTGTGGAATCTGAGCACAGAGGGACATGGGGATGGCAGTAACTGAAATCCTGCTTCACCCCAGAATAGTGTGGGGTATGTTCCACTTTCCTAGCCCATGGGCGGGGTGCAGCCTGGCTTCCATCAGAAATTCTTGTCTCCTGTAAGTGAACGAAGCCAAGAGGCTCTTTGCTAATCAGATTTCAATTTGCTTTTTCATGCTCCCCTCTCTCCCCCCCGCAAAAAAAAAATCACTCTCTTGACAGATGTCTCTTCTAGTTCCTGTACAGTAATCAAGATTTTCGAAAGTGTATTGTGGTGGAGTTTTCAATTTTTAAATCTCAGGTCATATTCGATAACCAGAAGACTCTACTTATCACAAAGAGCATGTGAAAAAGGACAGGAGAGGCTATTAAACTGTGTAAGACACGACAGGCCTTGATCGTGTCTACCAGTTTTCCATAGGGTTTCAAAGACCTTTGCCTGTTTGCATCGACTTCATTAAAATGCTTCTGATTTGTTTTTCAAGGTTTCTGATTAGAGAATGCAAAATTTGCTGAGAAAATCGAATTATCTGAGGACTAGCCAGGTGCAGAAGTTCTACAGTGTATGATTATAGGCGAACTCATATTTTAGTAATACTTTTTATAGGTAGATACCTTTTATATCCACGTGTTCCCTTATGTATGTATACAGTTAGAAACTATTAGAAGTATGTGGCTCTGTGCACATGGACAATCAAATTTGATAGTTTAGGGGAATTGTGCTGTGGAGATTTTAGCAAAACCTAGGTTATACAAAAACTTTAAATTCAGGAATTAGCTTTTTAAATAAACTTCATTACTTATAACCTACAGAGAAATGTATGTCTGCAAATGTTACAACTTGGACTCATTGGATATCACCAATAAAAGGGAAAAATTAAACCCCGGGGCAAAGAATATTGGAAAGAAAAAGTTTCCCAGAGAAATTTGAGTCTGAAACCTGCATTTATAAGCCTTGCTATTGTCTTAAATTTTGCATAGTTTTACTAATTTATTTAAATAAAAGGAAGAGAGGAAAATTAATAGGAACTAAGTAAGTTACATGAACTATTTTCTGGTTAAAAGATATTCAAGATTATGTGTTGTTAATCTAAATATCCAGTTTTAACAAATTGCTTCCTTACCAGTCCTGACAATTTTACAGTGAGAATATTTAAAGACAAATAGAACACGTTTAAGCTCATATCCTTTGTAAATCTTCTCAGTAGAACTAAAAACAGTATACTCAGCAGATTCTTGGTTTAAAGCTTTTTAAACTGTTTTCTAAAAATCTTTATTCAACAAAAATTTCTAAAGCAGAGTTGAATTTGCAGCTGTTTCACAGAAATGGACATTATAATTTCTGAGGTTTGATTTTTATATTTGCTAAATTGAAGATTAGGAAGTACCTGGAACTCCTGTATTTTTGTTGTCTTGCAACTGCTATATTTTCAGAAACCAGAATTCAGGCTGTCTTCCATTAGGTGCAGCATATTTAAAGTTATATTCATTTACTAGAAGAACAGCAGTGCGACCAATTTTCCTTCCACAAAGGATTTAAATAATAACTAGTCCGATGCAGTGGATTGAGGATAATTTTTTTTTAAATTGGCGTTTTTTTCACTTAAAAAAAATACATCGTGGCAAAGAAAAATTGCAATGTGCTAATTCAATGATCACTGAAGCAGTAGTTTGGTGTATATCACTTTTAATAAATATGGCTTTATATTTAGTAGAAAGCTTGTTTGGGAGTTTAATTGCTCATGCTAATAGAAAATCAACAGGCAGTGTGCTTAGTGTATGTAACTACTGAGCTTTTTATAAGTTAGTTTCACTAAGAGAAATACTATAACACACAAGAAACCTTTATTAAATCTCCATGTGCTTCTTAAGAACCCATGTCCCCCATTAAGTGAGGACTAGCTTGGGGTCACAAGCAGCCAATGACTTTTTATGTTATACTTATTGCTGTATTAATAATATATGTATGTTATGTAAGTATATATATATTTATTACAAGCATATTGTTATTATGCTTAAATGCATATACATTTCAAACAAGATTAAACCATTCTGATTTAATTCGAAACCTAATATTGAGAAATACCTATAACAATTATCCTATGACATTAAAAAAATAGAGACTGGACTCCTTCCCCAGCTTAGTTTTTGCTTGAGATGCGTTTTTTGACAGACAGGTCCTCCACGGTTGTGTTGGAATTTGGTGAAACAGTAATGTGTGGTGATTTTTGTTTGTTTGTTTCGTTTTGTTTTCGGTGTGTGTGTAGTGGCCCGGGTTGGGGTGAGGGGGGGCTTTAAGAAATGAGAGTCTCATTTTTAAAAATCAAGTGAAAATGGTTAATCTCACTTTTAGGTTAAATTTCATCTTGCCGTGGCCTTGGCCTCCTCAAACTGTGCTTCCGTCACACTGACGTATGTAGACACACAAACCCATCATATGATGGACTTTGATTTTTGTCTCCTCCAAGCAGAGGGGGAGGCCATCCTATAAATTCTGTCCCCAAACCAAGAATTGGAAAACCCAATATCATAGCCAGTGTTCATCTCCAGCAAGGCGGCTACACCTTCTTCAGAATCATCATTTCATTGCTGTGCTCTGTGTACTTCTGCAAACACCTACACCTCTTCACGTGTTCTTCAAAATCATTTTTCTCTCTCATCGTTAAAAGATAAGCATTCAAGATAAGACTGAAAAATATGAAACCTCCTGTAGAGCCACATTGCCAAGCTCTTCTACCCTTATATAATCTTGGGAGATAATTTGGGTATGAATTTGCAGCCTGGACAAAGCTCTAACTCAGGCAATCGTCATGTATCTTCTCTGAGGAGCCGAGTATTTGCAGAGCTGGGTTAAAGCAGACAGACAAACACACACCCCATAAGGCAAGGATTTAAACTGACAGTTAAAATTTTAAAAACCAGCATAAGGTGAACATTTATAGATGTGAGGACTGTGACTGTTTCTTCAGAGATATTAGTAAATACAGGAAAATTAGCCACATTCCAGCGTTTTCTTCTTCTTTCTCCCCTCACCCCCCTTCTGTAACAGTCTGGGGATGCCACTGCTGGTGGCCATGATGACTAAACATTCTTAATTTTTCTGGATCCTAACACGAGGCTGACTGGATTCCTTAGAGAGCCGATTTCTTGAGCGGCATTGTCCAGTGGAGCTTT